GGTTCTTCAGCAAAGCTAATGAAATAAGCCCTGCTTCCCATTTCTCCCACAGGTAAATGATTTGGCAGAACTGCCAGCTTCTCAAGCAAGAGGGACGAAGTGCCCAGGCTCTTTTCTTACAAGTTCTTTTAGTGAGGCAGCTTCTTTTCAGAAAAATAGTTTCACTTGCCCCAAAGGAAGGTATTTTTGACTGCAAGGGGGGCTGGTCCATTAGGGCAAATGGGGCACTGCCCTATCAACCTTGGTCTGCCTTAACCAACCCCCTCCTGACTGCCTTCTTGTTTACAACCAGCCCAGTCTGGGGTGGGGGGTGGGATGGGGGACACACACTAGCTATCCACTTCTGCCCTCCTTAATCCACACAGAACTCAACAAGATAAGGGCAAAGCTACAATTATTTGGTTCCACCTGTCACAGGCCTCCGGCCGATGTTCACTTATTCATTCCATGTCCAGGACAGAAACTCATCCAGCAAACATGACTGCCATTTGCTGTTGTTGTTGCTTTCAGTTCACAAGCATAACCAATACCATTCTTTTTCCGATTTGCATTGTGTTTCCTTAGCACCAAACTACACGCAGCGGAATGGCCGTAAGGGCAATGAAACATACATAAATAATTGCACAAATTATGTGATTTTCCTACAGCAGATGAATCATGCAGTTTTTGGCAGCAGATGAACTGCAGTGGAATATGGCAACTGAGCTGCAGGCAGCAAATACAGGAACAGAAAGCAACGCCTTCTTAGAATTCCCGCTACCTTATTCTGCTACCTAATACATTTAACTGGAGGTGCCAGGAGACTGAAGCAAGAGCCTTGAACACAGAGTATCTGGAAGGTACCAATTTGGGGAAGACTGATCTAGCCAAGAAGAAGGCTGAAAGTGGACTGGGCCACTTTCAGACATATGCATTCAAACGTCCAGTCCATTCCTTTGCTGTAGCAACCTGTGGATTCCTTTTAATGCACAATATTTGTATTTTTAATGTCTCTCCCCCCTGGCCCCCGCATGGACATTTCTGGGCACATTTCACAACATGTATTTCCGTATGCATTTTATTCTAAAGTACTTGGGAGTGGGGGAGTTGGATGCATTTAAATCAATGCAATTTTTTGAGCCCAGAACTGTATTGCAAAATCTGGAGAAGGGTCTGAAAGCCAAAGGCTAACACTGCTCCGATCCACATAGTATCAGCCCAAGAACTGCAAATCTAGCCTGCTCTCTTTAAAAAGTGCAGGCCAAAACCCAGCTCCCCCAACATCCCTGAAGTCCAAACATCCTGTTTCCTCCAGTGGCCAATCGGGTGCCTCTGGGCAGCCCCCCAGCAGGGAAGGAAGGAAACAGTCCTCTCTCCTGTCATTGCCCCACAGCAGATGAATAAGGAGAAGAGCGAAACACAAGACCTTTTACACACAAACACACACACACACACACACACACACACACACACACCTCCTTTCAGTCTTGGTCAAATCTATGAAGCCTTGCAAATGTTATCCCAGACGTGTAAATACTGCTTATCAGGGATGGAGAAGGCTGACTCAGCTAAGACAACATTTGAAATGACCCGAAAGAGACATTTCCCGCTGATTCAGCACCATGGTGGGAGCGGCACCGGTTCCATGGGAAAGGCCCACGCAATCTGATTTCGCCATCATATTTAGAATAGATCATTCATTCACACACTCACACACACACACACACACACACACACACACACACAGTCCCACAGGTTGTCCCTGCTAAGCGATGTCATCTCTGCAGCTGCGATAATGTCTAAACAACCACATATATCAGGTCTGCCCTGGAAAGATTTCCATTCTTATTCTCCCTCTCTTTTTTTACTCTCTTCCTTTTTTTTTAAGGCAAAGGCTGCTGCTCCCTATAACTTTCCTGGGAATGCTTTTGCAAGTCTGTTACATGCCTGGGAGATTCAGGAGAAAGGAAGAGTACCTTCTTCACCTGGTACACAGCAAAAGGATGGATTTTGCTCCCACGAGAGGCAGTGATGCCCAGCAAGGTGGGATTTTAAAAATAAGAAAGATTAGTTCAATTATTGGAGAATATCAGCAGCTACTAAGCCAGGACGGCTGTGTTCTACCTGCGCTGTCAGGGGAATTCATGGCTCTGAATGCAACCTGCAAGGGATCAAAAGTGGAGAGAGCGCTGTTGTGCTCTCAGGTTCGGCTTACAGGCTTCCCTTAAGGGCATCTGGTTACCTGTGGATGCTATATTTGAGATCCCTGCGTTGCGGGGGGCAGGACCAGATGAACCCCCGGGGACCCTCCTAACTCTGCAATTCTGGGATTCTAGATGGCTGGACTTGATGAGAAACTGGCTTGAAAGCCAGTAGGGATCTCGTTATGTTCTTCTGTATCGCACATTGCATATTGCGTGTGTGTTTGTAATGTAACTCAACATGGAGTACAGGGCATTCTCACCTGAGCTATGATCAAATCCAGGATGTTTTTCTCCAACACAGTGGCTGAATTATGTGCATCCAGATAACTTACAACACAGACCAGGGTTTCTCAAAGCTCGATAGGTCACTGAACTTATCAAGTCGTCATCAAAGCCAACCCAAATTCCTAGGAAGTTATCTTGAGAGTCCTCCTGCTCTTTCGGCTGAATGTCCCCCCCCCCCGATTCCTGCATTGCAGGGGGTTGGACTAGATGGCCCTTGTGGTCCCTTTCCAACTCTACAGTTCTATGATCCCTGATTGGCCATGCTGGCTGGGACCTCTGGCCAGCCACCAGTTCCTCACCCAGAGATCAAGAGATTTCTGACGAAAATGGAAACAGGAGATGAAACGGCCGGCATTTGCTTATACATCCCATGTTCGCAAAATCAACCTGCCTTGGCATTCACCAATGCTGATGCTTTCAGTTCACAAATGATACACAATTGATTGAGGTCCCCCGCTCCTTTCCGTCCTCGTTTGCTTTGTGTGTTTCCTTTGCACTGGAATGAATGGGTTGGAACAGTATGACCACAACGTTTATGGAATCAACGGCGCAAGTTATGCCATTTCACCACAGTGGACAGTGAGGTGAGCAGCGTGGGTTTTGGGCAGAAGACGGACTGCAGCGGAATGGAGACGGCGCTGGAAGCAACGAGCACAGGGCAGAATGGAAAACGATGCCCTTCTTACAACCCTATTCCCACTCAGACACAAACCTCCAGTGCAGAAGCAGATAACAGAATGGTAAAGAGTTTGCATTTCTCACCTCTAGGGCCAAAAGATACTGGACTCAGCTCTGAGCCTGGGACACATAAAAGCCTCATCTGTCCTTACAAGGCAGAGGTTTGCTGGCTCCCTTTGGCTTACACAGCACGGGAACACAGGGAGGTGAGTTGCACTGAGTCATAGAGTCTCTGCTGCACCACTCGGATTCCCATTGCTCACGATGCACCACATTCGGTTCACACAAGGCAGACCCGAGATTCCAAACTGAGGACGGTGGGGTGTGCTTTGCACGAGCAGCAAAGCTGACTAAAACATCAGCTTCTGGGGGCAAGTGAGGTTTTCTCACTTCCCACACAAGTTGCTTTCACAGGTCTTGAGAACAGCATGCTGGAATTTTAAGCAGGTTTTTATTTTTATGTTTTTCAGGGTGTCAAAGGGCGTGTGTGTGTGAGAGAGAGAGATGTAGTCAACAGCAAAAAACAAAAACCCACAGTCAGTCGCGACGAGGAGAAATTCAGACAGAACAACAGAGTCAAAGAGCACCTTACACAAACTGACTTGTTCATAAATTGAAGGACTGGGCTAATTTAATGGTGGCGGGTGACCATTGAGGCTGATAGGGAGACCGAGCAGTAGGTAGAACCAGTAGGTGGAGATGACTATTTCTCCCCATGCCTCCATTCTCCTGGCAAGTCTGCAAGGGGCAACACCAAGACGAAGGGGGAGGAAGCGGACAGGCCATGCCACCATCTCGACTGGGTGTAAGAAGACAGGCAAGGGGGCGGGGGCCTGGTTGAAGGCAGAATGAAGTTAGTGGTGGGGCAAGTGCCCCCATTCAAACAAATGGACCAAGCTTCACTGGGTTTATGAAAACCACAAACCATCAGAGGTCTGCTGGACCATCCTCGACTTCTTCATGCTGTGCGTAAACTGTGGAACTCCCTCCCATAGCGAGAGCTGCCAACTTGGACGGCTTTAAAAGGGGACAGGACAGATTTGTGAAGAAAGTTATCAATGTCTACTAGCAGCGATGGAGGCAATACTTGGCCTCCACCACCGGAGGCAGTAGTGATTCTGAATACCAGTTGCTAGAAATAGCAGGAGGGGAGAGTGCTGGGTCCTGCTCGTGGGTCTGCCACTGTGAGAACAGGATTGCTGGACTAGATGAGCTGTTAGCCTGATCCAGCGGGGCTTGTCTCATGTTCTTAGGTTGTAACCCAGCAGCCTGCACGGAAGTTGAGCAGGATGAAATATGATGTAAAGGGGTTTTGCTTTCCCCAGTGGAATAAAGCAATGGGAACATGGGAAAAGGTTCTGACCAGGCATTTGGGAAAGAAGAACCAAGTCCATATGCACGAATGAAGGAAGAAGCAAGAAAGATGGGGAGAAGCTCAGAGAGAGAACATAAGTGTCCGTTTATTGCAGAAAAAGGATAATCAACGTCTAAACATAACCTAACTGTATTTTTATTGCTTCTTTTATTTCTTATTGTATTTTAATGTATGAGAATTCGGAGCCCATAAGTTTTAGAAAAGTTACTTTAGCATCTAGCACACTGCAATTGCTAAACAACAGGCAAAGAAAGAAAGAAAGAAAGGGGAGAAATCCAAAAACAGCTCAATGAGGATTGATGCTCAGAGGCCACAGAATGCTCATCGACTGTTGAGCAAAAACTGGAAATGATGGGAAATGGAATGGAATATCCAGAACAAGGTCTGTCCCCACAGTAGTCTTCACCCCCACCTCATTAAAAAGCCCCCCAAATGCTTTAACCTTTACTTGACAGGAAGGTGCTCCATCCAGTCAATCTCTGAGATAGCTCAGTCGGTAGAGAAGGAGACTGTTAATCTCAAGGTCCTGGGTTCAAGCTCCACATTGGGCAAGAGATTCCTGCTTTGCTGGGGGTTGGACTAGATGACCCTCGTGGTCCCTTCTAACTCTTACGATTCTATGATTTGGATTGCCCTTTTCTGAACCCAAAGCTCCACATCCAGCTTGGGAAGACTTTGAAGAGCTGTCCCTCCCCAGATCAATCTGCCCACAGCAAAGAGAAACAGGCCACTTTTCTGTGGGGTTGGGGAAAGGGTAGCCATGCAAACAGAGGCGGAATTCGAACGCAGGTGTCAGGATATGAGTTTGACTCTGCATCCACTGGAACGCCTGAGCAAACACAGAAGCTCTCGTACCCCTGCTGAACATGCAGCAATTGAGGTACACAAACACTCAGAGGTGGATCTGCATATAAATTAACACGAGTTCTAAAGTGGCCCATCCAAGAGAATGTTCCAACCTGTGCCTTGTTGCTTTCTACACCTGGCCTTGGCAGGCATCCAGCAAGACTAGCTTTTCTAGTTCTCCGTTTTCAAAATCCAGTGGAACTGCTTTCAGCTGAAACCTGTTATCACTTTTACTGCTTTCTCAGCCTGGAACCAGCAAACTTGTGAGACGAGGGGCAGAGGACAAGTGGCCAGAGGTGATGGGTGCACATGACTTTAGATTTATACATATACCTACATATATATTTGGAAACTTCTTTGAGGTTTGGACTTCAAGCCTTCTAAAACATAATTATTCACCATCTTCCGCCAGTAACACACTTTTGCTTTATCCTTCAGGGACAGCAAGACAGTCTCAGCTATGGGGTGTGTGGAACCCCTGCCCCCCACCAAAAAAAACCCTCTCTCATCAGTCCCAGCCAGACTATATTATTATCTATTTTCATTAACAAATCGCTTCCCCTGGAGGCATCTCGAAACGATTTACAACATCATGACATATATGAAGGTTACAGATCTAAAAACAATTGCATGTATAAAAATGACTTTTAATCAACTGTTATAGGGATTCTAAGGTCTCAAATATAGAATAAATGTTGATAATTGCACAAGGTAAACACACATACATAGGTATATAAACCACATGTCTAAGGTAGTACAGGAGAGCAATCCAAAAGCCATCTTGGCTCTCCTAAAGAATCTAAATATTTCCTCTACCTCCTTAATCCCCCTTGCCATATAGGCAGACAGCAATCAGGTGAAGTTCCTGAAGGGATTCCTCTCCTATATCTATGAACCATTGTTTGCCCAGATGCTCTGCACTGAGGGATGTCTGACAGGCATCCTGACTTGCTAAACCCTCAGGAATACAGTGGTGCCTCGCAAGACGAAATTAATTCATTCCGCGAGTTTTGTCGTCTTGCGATTTTTTTCGTCTTGCGAAGCACGGTGTCGGGAAAGTTTTGGAAAAGCTTCAAAAATCACCAAAGTCTTTAAAAACCTCAAAAAAGGCTACCACACCGCGTTCTAGGAGTTGCTCCTCGAAGTCAAGTCGCAACTGTATTAACGGTGTTAAGAAAAAGGAAACAAACTTGCAAGACGTTTCCGTCTTGCGAAGCAAGCCCATAGGGAAAATCGTCTTGCGAAGCAGCTCAAAAAATGAAAAACCCTTTCGTCTAGCAGGTTTTTTGTCTTGCGAGGCATTCGTCTTGTGAGGTACCACTGTATCACACCTTGGCCTGCCTGGGCCACAGTAACCTCACTTTATGTGTGATGCAATTTTGTAGAGGGGATGTCCTCCTTCTCCATGCCAAAATGCAAACACTTAAAAGAGACGTGTCTTCTTGGTTCTGGGTCTCTCTTGCCTCCTTGCTAGGAGGGGAGGGAACTCAGTTGACACAGAAAAATAAAGATCTGCCTTGCTTTCACTGTATCCTGCCTCCATCCATTCATCTCTGACCGATCATGGACTTAGGAGAGTTGGGCAGCAAAAGCCAAGCGCCCCAATTTTTCTATATCAAAACAAAACCCAACTGTAAATATAAAAACAGTTTTAAAAAACCATAAAGGTAAAGGGTAAAGGGACCCCTGACCATTAGGTCCAGTCGTGACCGACTGTGGGGTTGCGGCGCTCATCTCGCTCTATAGGCCGAGGGAGCCGGCGTTTGTCTGCAGACAGCTTCCGGGTCATGTGGCCAGCATGACTAAGCCACTTCTGGTGAACCAGAGCAGCGCACGGAAACGCCGTTTATGTTCCCGCCGGAGCAGTACCTATTTATCTACTTGCACTTTGACGTGCTTTCAAACTGCTAGGTTGGCAGGAGCAGGGACCGAGCAACGGGAGCTCACCCCGTCGCGGGGATTCGAACCGCTGACCTTCTGATCGGCAAGTCCTAAGCTCTGTGCTTTAACCCACAGCACCAGTGTAAAAGGTATTCGGATCCTGGGCAGATACCAACGAGGATAATTTTTTTAAGAAGGTTTATTGAAATGGGATGATGAGAGAGAAAAGTACAGAACCATCTCAGAGTGCCACAGATTCCCCTACAAAGAATAAAGACTCAAAGCAGAAACAGATCAGGCTTCAAAACCCTTCCCCAAACAACAGAAATGTGGAAGCATCCCAAGGTGGTCTGAAAGCCACTGCTCTTCAAGAATAAAGAAAAACTTCAAAAGGAAGATTTCCGCAGGAAAAATTCTGACCTAGGCCACCATCTGAACTATACCCTAAAGCAGCATCGTCCCACTTTAAGCAGCCATGGGTTCCCAAAAAAATCCTGGGAACTGAGAGGTGCCGAGAGTTCTCAGGAGACCTCCTATCCCTCTCAGAGAGCTAGAATTCCCAGAGTGGTATAGCGGTCAAACCCTCTTCCCAGGGAAGTCTGGGAATTGTAGTTCTGTGATACTGCTTTATAGTGCTCATGGAGCCTCTTAGGATCTAGCAGCAAATCTGAATTTGCTGCAAGAAAGATGGGTGCAAACTCATCCTGAGGCTAGAAGCTGAAGGATCTCTCCAAGGCCAGGAAACGTTTCACAAACCTTTCACATTTCAAGAAATCTTTTGGCCACGCCACCTCCAACTTGAGCGGCTTAAATGCCACCTCCCCCTTGCCCTTACACAATTCTGGCACGGCCTGGCCGGCTGATGCTCTTTGGACTTTGCTCCTTAGGCAGTCGCAACCGGTTACCAAACCCTGAAAGAAGGAGCGAGGGGCTTGTCTTGCCTGCTGTACTGAATTGGGGGCGATCTCTTCCTCCAGCGGTACCTCGGGAAGTGGTCGGACCTTTCTCTGCCCTACTTGCTCTCCCCTCCTACCCTGGACCCTGAACGACTGCTGAATGTTGAATGCTGCCTGTAGGAGAGCACGAGAGCTGCAATCTCAAGTTTGAGAAATAAAAATATACAGTGGTACCTCGGGTTAAGTACTTAATTCGTTCCGGAGGTCCGTTCTTAACCTGAAACTGTTCTTAACCTGAAGCACCACTTTAGCTAATGGGGCCTCCTGCTGCTGCAGCGCCTCCGGAGCACGATTTCTGTTCTCATCCTGAAGCAAAGTTCTTAACCCGAGGTACTATTTCTGGGTTAGCGGAGTCTGTAACCTGAAGCATTTGTAACCTGAAGCGTGTGTAACCCGAGGTACCATTGCAATGGTGCACAAGTTCTGTTACGTACTACAGAACTTCAACAGAAATAAAACTTAAATCACTCCAAAACAGGATACTGGAACCCTTCAGATCATTTGGGAATCCTAGACTTGTACAGTTGGATGGGACCCTGAGGGTCATCTAATCCAACCCCCTGCAACGCAGGAATCTCAACTAAATCATACATGACAGGTGTCCATCCAACCTCTGCTTAAACACCTCCAAGGAAGGAGTCCACAGCCTCTCAAGGGAGACCATTCCACTGTCCAACAGCTCTTACTGTCAGAAAAAGTTCTTCCTGATGTTTGGTTGGAATCTCCGACTAAGGAAATTGCCACAGCTCAGTGGTACAGTATCTGCTTGGCCTGAAGAAGACCCCAGGTTCACACAGGTCCATCTGAGAAGGGGGACCCGGAGCCAAGACAGAATCACTTAATTCCAACTGGGTCCCCATCTTGTTGAATTCCGCAGGGACAAAAGGAGGAGGGAGCCGAAGGTTAGTGTCTAGGCCCTGGAAGCTATCCTTCAGCCAATTCCTCACTCCCATTTAGTCACACCCCAAAACAGGCGCTCGCTTCATCCAATGTTACTGCCAGAGAAGCTGACAAGGTGGGATGATGCCCACCTGGAATCGTTTGCCCAGATCGTCCTGTCTCTCTCGGCCGGATGGAGAGAGAGAACCCTCGACACCATTTTTGCCAGAGCCTTTAACGCACAAGTCAGTTTTTGTAGGTAAGTCAGGTTGCAAGGCACGGATTGAGCAGAGGCTAAGATACATGGCTGAAAGGGTCAGGGGTGGCGCTGTGAGTTAAACCACAGAGCATAGGGCTTGCCGATCAGAAGGTCGGCGGTTCGAATCCCCGTGACGGGGTGAGCTCCCGTTGCTCGGTCCCTGCTCCTGCCAACCTAGCAGTTTGAAAGCACGTCAAAGTGCAAGTAGATAAATAGGTACCGCTCCGGCGGGAAGGTAAATGGCATTTCTGTGCGCTGGTCTGGTTCGCCAGAAGTGGCTTAGTCATGCTGGCTCCCTCGGCCAACAAAGCGAGATGAGCACCGCAACCCCAGAGTCGGCCATGACTGGACCTAATGGTCAGGGGTCCCTTTACCTTTACCTTTAAGATACATAGCTAAGCGCTAGAAAAGGTGTCGATCCAACAGGGTGACACACACACCTTGCTCCCACAGCTAACTGCATAGGACCCAGACAGAGCCCTGGGCAAGGAAATCGTCACTCCATTGAGTGAGCTGGATTTGGGAGCTGGGCTTGCGCCAAGGCTGGTATCTCCGCATTGGCCGAGTCAGAACCATCTCAGCATCAGATCTACTCTCAGATTCCTCCATAGAAGGAGGCTTTAGGCTTGGGACAGCCAACATCTTGGGAGGGGGGACCATTCTGGATCTCCATCCCCCAACCCACTGGGAGCTTCCTCAGGACCATCCATCTCCATCTCCATCTCCCCAATCT